CACTCCTGCTAGTGCTCCTGTCCTAGCCATTGGATAGGGAAAGGGTAAAAAGAGGAAAGGTGCTCCCAAGCAAAACTAGAATGGAAAGGCCCATGCAGGGTCATCCGGTAGTGGCCCTAAAGAAAAGTCCAAATCTGATAACCCACCCTCTTCTGATCCCATAGAGGCTATTTGCTTTTACTGCAACGACAAAGGGCATTAGAAAAGAAGCTGCCTGAAATACCTACAAGATATCAAAGATGGAAAGGTGAAATCAACTTCTGCAGGTATATACACTATTTCATCTAATAACTCATCATTTTCTTGTTCTTGGGTCCTTGATACAGGATGTGGATTTCATATTTGTTCTGATTTGCATGGGCTAAGAAGAAGTGAGGAGGTGGAGCATGATAGAATGAACTTGATCATGGGGAATAAGCGATCTTCTCCTGTTACCAAGATTGGAGTTTATAGTCTAGTGCTTGGTAATGTGTTTGTTTAGATTTAATAAATTGTTGATGCTCATCGAAAATGACAAGAAACATTATCTCTTTTCATGCATTGTTCAGACAAGGGTTTAGATATTCATTTAATCATTTTAATGGTTCTATTTCTGCTTATAAAAATGGTGTTTTTATATTTGAAGCTTTACCTTGTGATGGTGTGTATGAAACTGTGACGTGTGTTGATAATTTAGGCAATAATGTGTTTCATATTGATTCGTCTAATGGTGCAGACAAAGTGCTTGTGGCATTGTCGTCTTGGACACATTAACAAGAAACACATTGCCCAAATCCAAAAGGATGGAGTGTTGGAATCATTTGACTTAAGGTAAGATGATACATGCGAATCTTGTCTTTTGGGAAAGATGAAAAAATCACCTTTCACTGGAACTTGATAAAGAGGTGAAGGTTTGTTGGATCTCATACACACAGATGTATGTGGACCCTTCAGATCATCCACAAGGGATGCTAATCGATTCTATGTGACTTTCACTGATGATTATAGCATATATGGTTGTATCTACTCAATCAAGCATAATTCAGAAACCTTTGAAAAGTTCAAAGAGTTTAAACAAGAAGTCGAGAATCAATTGGGCAGGAATATAAAGATGCTTAGATCCGATAGAGGTGGAGAGTATCTTAGTATCGAGTTCAATGACTATCTAAAGGAATGTGGAATAGTTTCACAATTGACTCCTCTTAGGACACCACAATTGAATGGTGTAGCTGAGAGGCGTATCGGACCTTGTTAGACATGGTTTGTTCCTTGATGAGTTGTGCTTCTCTTCCTATTCACTTCTGGGGGCATGCCTTAGAGACAGCCACCCACATTCTCAATCTTGTCCCTACAAAGAAGGTTGCCAAAACACCTCACGAGATGTGGACAGGGAAAACACCCGGTGTTTCACGAGAGGAGCAAGCACATTGACACCTAAGTTGCACGGAAACGGATACGGTAACGGGAAACGGGAAACGGAAAAACTCAAAAATTCAAGATACGGATATGACAGAGATATGACAATATAAAAATATGAAAAAACATATATATATATATATATATATATATATATATATATATATATATATATATATATATTAAAGAAATTCCAAAATATGTAAAGTGTAAACTCCAAAAATACTAAATATTTCAAAAGTAATTAATTATCAATAATCAAATCATTTTCAAAATCCGGTTTATCTAGTGAGAGATCAGCAACCTCCAAAAACCCGACATCTTCCATTGAATCAAAAGCATCTCCACCCACATCCCACATCTTTTACATCATCATTCAGAGTCCTTGACAAAAGTCGGAGATTATTGTGGATGTAAACCAAGTCTTGAGCACGACTTGTAGTCAACTTATTCCTCTTAAGCGAGTGAATAAATGCATAAGTACTCCAATTACGCTCAGCACAAGAAGAAAAACTAGGTTGTCCAAGTAATCTAAAAGCCAAAGTCTGGAGAAAAGAAGTTTGAGCACCAAAGTTAACCCACCAATTCTTGGGTTCCATAGTAGCCATCTTTGAAATGCTTGTTAAATCTTCAAAAGGACCACTCTTCATTGAAAACATTGCATAATCATCAAGGACTTTGGTATACTCATCATCATTAGGAAACAACCTTTGAAAACATTTCATCCTTTCTTGTGAAATTTCTCCATCCCTATGTGGAGCACATCTTCTAGAATCCTCCAGTAACCATGCATCACTATAATATCTACAACATTCAAAAGTTAAAACATAAATATATAATAGAAATCAAGTGTATAATTTAAAATCTTATACCTTGGATGTAAAGAGTGAGTTAAACAATGTAGGGGGTGTTATTCTTCGCCCATCGAGCCACTAAAATACGATGCACAATATCATAAAAGCAACTTATTTGAGATGTCGGATGTTTTTCTTTCTTGTAGATCTTAATCTTCACTTTCTCAATCATAAAATCCCACATCTCATACACCAAGTGTAAACATGGCTTGTCGGTGTCACAAGCTCTAATCATCTCATATATAGGTCCAATGAAACTAAGAATATATGCTACTTTGTCCCACTAAATATCATTCAAAATATATTATTTCACAGAGTTTGCTTTCTCAGTGTCATCTATTTCTTTACAATTGTTCATGAATCAATAGTTCAATAAAATAACATGAATCAAAAATCGTAGTACCTATATTCAATTAAAACAACATGATTTCAAGAACACACATAATAAGATCCAAAATCATTAGCAAAATCATGATTTCAAAACACACATAATAACATTGACATTCTCAATTCAATAACATGAAAAAAATAAGTTCATCATTGACATTATCAATTCAATTACATGAATCAAAACAAGAAAGTGAATCAAAACAAAAATCGCATCCTCTTATTTCTTTACAATTTTTCATGAATCAATAGTTCAATACAATAACATGAATAAAAAATCGCAACAAATACATGAATCAAAACAAAAATCGCAGCCTCTTATTTCTTTACAACTGTTCATGAATCAATACAATAAGTCAATAACATGAATCAAAAATCGAAAATTACATAGACACACACACTAAATTGAATAGTAGATTACCTTTTATACCAAGTAAATGTGCTCTAACTCTAGAATATGATCCTTGTCGAGTTTCACTGCAAAGGTTACACTTGAACTTCCAACATCCTCCTGTTTTAGCAAGTTTTTCGAGTTTAGTCACATAGTCTCACAATGGAGGTTGGTCTATTGATGTAATTGATGATGATCCTTGTGTTTCTTGTTCTTGAGAATCCATAATAATCGATATGATTTCTGAATTGGTGACTGATTTCTAAATTATTTCTTGTTCTTGATCAACGACAGGCAGAGGCAGTAGACGATTGGAATTTACCAACGAGGCATCGATCGGTTTAGGCTTGTAGTTGTAGAGTAATATCGATTAGTATAGCCCATTACTCCATTAGCCCTTTTGGACTTCAAAAGCCCATGCAAAAAAAATGGAAACTTTGTGGAAACTTCACAAAAACGTTTATGGATTTCCCGATACGTTCCGGAAACGTTTCCCGGCCGTTTCCTAGGCGTTTCCATTTCCCCCACGTTTCAGATACGGGTACGGCTCCCTAATTGGCGTTTCCATGCATCATAGATTGACACGCAATTCCATTTTATATGGGAACGTATCAAGAAATGAGACATTACAGTCAAACATGTGTGCAACCAAGAACAACGGTTATACATTCTCACGAAATCAATGGGTAAGGTTAAATTTGAAGAGATGCGAGATCAACTAGGAGTAAAACACATAACACCTTCTGTATTAGGGGGAAATATTTGAATAATCCAGAAATTTCAAACTTTAAATATGCATTTTTTGAATTTGAGTCATTATCTTTTTCCTGCAAATTTGTTAGTAGATAAACATAGTTTGTTAGCTTTTCTTTTCTAGTATAAATAGGAGTTGTTCTGATGTTTACCGTGTGATTTAGTGTCGAATAAAAATTCCAAAAAAAGTTTCCCAAAGTATCATTGTGCTCTTCTCTTCCTATGTTTGCTCTATTTCTTGTGTTTGGTGTTTCTGCAGGAAGAAACACAATGGTTCATATTTATAGAAGCAATATGTGTGTTCAATATTCCACTCATTTGGCTTATCGTGTGTTAGATCCTCAAAAGAAGCACCGGGTATCACCAGAGATAAAGTTTCAAATTAATTTTTGTTAAACCGATTTCATTTTAGTTTACAACTATATTTTTTTATCTTTGAACAATGGGTTCTTCGTTAAATGCGATTCCGCTAAAAATCGAAACACAACAGTTTCTTTTTCATGTACTTCTCGAACTTGGAAAAAATGACGTTTTACGAGTAAATTATAACAAAACCAACTATGTATTCAACTCATCTAATTTACGATTCCTCCGGTTCTAAACCAGACCGGACCAATTAAATTAAGTTGAATTTTTTTCCATATTTTTTATAATCTTTTTATGTTTTTGTATTGTTCCGTTTCCATCAAGTCCAATTTGGTTGCTACCCCGATGCATAATCTAAGTTAGATTGCACATTCTTTTTCGCCACAACATCAATTACATTTAAACAACACAACCCGACTTTAACAGACATTCAAATCAGTCCTCTTATATTTCAAAATAATTTTGCGGGAGAAGGTAATTTTATTTTACTAGTAGAACTCGAAGTTGCCATTGAACACAATAATTTACTCCAAATTATTCAATGTGTATAATCCGTACATAAAACCATTAAACCACATTTAACAACCAATAATTTACTCACCCAACATAAAATGTACGAGTCTTGAAAGGAAAGTAAATATGGGAGAACTCATATGAACCAAAATGATGAAAGGTGAAGCAACATCATACCACACTTCATCATGAAGTTTTGAAAAAGGTTCAATTTGATCCCACTTTACCCATTATTTTAGTGCCATATTTTGATCTTTTCCACCCTTTAATTGCTCCTGAACCCTACCACTTCTCATTCCAAAAGTCCCACCCTTATCTTTGAATGTACCAAAAATCTCCCAATGAACCCAAAAAACAACAATCAAAGGATTTTTCAGAGAACCCAAATGCAAAGTTGCAATCTTTTATCAATTGCAAGGTGTTTCAATGGATGTCGAGATCATACTCAAGTTTCAGGGATCGGGACCAGGGTTTGGAACCTCAGTGACAAGCCTGTTGAGTTGCAGATAAGGGTGGGCTCGATATTGAAAAAAGTTCATACACTGAAGCCTGGATCATCAAAGAGGTTGAAAAGCAAGAAGATTTACAAGGCTTATGTTCCCGGTGAAGGTGGTCGTGGTGGTAGAGATGGTGGTGGTGGAACGAGGAGTTTTTTGTATTATTATGACGAAACGTGTCATCCTTACATTTGGGTACATGACACATCATGTGATTTCTCTAGGATGGTAAGACAGCAGTATATCAGTCTAGAAGATCTTAGAGATTGTTCCGAGATTAGGATCTTTAGAGATCATATAAAAGGTTCGATATCTATTAGGAAGAAGCCTAGACAAGATTTTTGTTGATTTTTTTTTTCCTTTGCATCTTTTTTGTAAGATAAGTGTGCATATTCTTGTTAGCTCTCCATTGTCTTATTTCAATGCGTTTTGCAATAAAGTTATATGATTGTACTGTGTAATGATCATTGTATCATGCTTCTTCAGAAAAGAATATGTAGAACTTTTGAAGGTTAGTTTTTTTTTTCACAATATTCTGTGTTTTCTTTGGAAGAGTTTGAGCAATATATCAAATAAAAACACACATAATATCTATATCTTACAAAGGGGATCTCTAATCCATTAATGTAAAAATAAACCAATATAAATTATATTTTATTGTTAACCATTCAAATGAGTAAAAAAAATCAATTTAAAAGGAAACATGTAGATGAAGCTGCTTAAGAAAAAACCCAAAGTATATTTAACGCTGACACTTTGAATAACTTTTGGGTAAATGAATTGATTTATATAATAGTAAAGTTTTCAAGGGATAAATATTAAAAAATATATGTATTAACTAGAATGAAATGGGTCAGATAGGTCGAATGAGTAAAAAAACATATATATTTGATGTATATAGTTTCATAAATAGCTTTATTAGAACAATAGATTATTATTTCGTTAATATAGTTTTCACTTTTTATATCATTATTTGATACAACAATTATTCATAAACGGTTCGGGTCGGGCTAACTTAAAGAACTGGACCAAAGCCCATAAGAAGCCCAATAAATTTGCCATGGGTCGCCCAATGAGCTTATCTGGATTAAGGATACGGATCTTATCCTTGTTAAGAATAGGGCTATACTCGAAACCAAATGATCCCTATTGAACGATAAAACCTCGTTACTCTCGTCCCTTCATACGTCACCTTTTAGGGGAATCAATCCTTCCCTTCTGACTAGAACAAATTCACACACACACACACTTCAGGAACTTTTATACACACAGAAATCATCTTAAATCGAAGGATACTTTGGTGTTTATGTGTGTGATTTTGTGAAAAAGGGAGATGGTGAGGATAATACCAATGGCGTCGACCATTCGTCCGTCGCTCTCATCCTTAGCCACTACTCGATTTGGTGGTGGCATCTCCATGGTCAACTCTTCAAAGCGTTTCAATTCGCTTCACTTTGGTTCCACTGGTATGGATATGAATAGGTTTAGTTTTTTGTTGAATTTCAGCCTTTAATTTCTGTGTTTGTGGATGGATATTGGATAGGGCTGTTTGTACTTTGTTTTATACCTCATTGTTAAGTATCGAATTTGCTTACTTAGGTTTACTTTCTGCTAACGATTTGATGATTTTGTATAGCATTTATGTAGTTTTGCTTGTTTTATCCGATTTGTGATTGATAACATGTATCGAGCTTCAAGTTTGAAGAATTTTGAGAATGTTACAACTTAAGAACTCGAACCTAAACAAAGGTTGAATCCATCTTATTAATACTAAATAGATATGAAACTAACCAGGATTCGAGCCTAAACAAGTTGTAATCCTGTTTATTTGTATTCGATCCTTTCTCTTATGTTTAACAGTTTTAACTTATTATCATAGTAGGATGCATCTACTCCATGTCATTGTATGGTTCTAGCTTCATGCTCCATTAACAATCTCTTATCTTATGTCTTTCTATATCTTAACAGTGGGATCACAATCACAACATTTTGGTCTTAAAGGCTGTAAGTTCTTTAGACAAGAAGGAAACAACAAGCAAGCTACAACAATTGTAAGCATGACACAAGGAAGCACTGCAACCACACAAGAAAACGCCTTGGAGTGGGTTAAAACTGACCAGAGAAGAATGCTTCATGTTGTTTATCGTGTTGGTGATTTGGACAGAACAATAAAGTAACTTCTTGAATCACCTTATAATAATTCCAAATGCTTCATGTTTCTTCTGTCTTTTCTCTAGATTTTAACATCAATTGAAATGTATTATGTACGTGTAGATTCTATACAGAATGCCTAGGGATGAAATTGTTACGAAAAAGAGACATACCTGAAGAAAGATACACCAATGCATTTCTTGGATATGGCCCAGAAGATTCGCACTTTGTTATTGAACTCACATACAGTAAAAAAAAAATCTTCAACCTACTTTTTATAATTCCAATAACCACAATAGATTCTTTGATTTTGACTTTTGACTGATTTGGATTCATTCTTCCAGATTATGGAGTTGACAAATACGATATCGGATCTGCTTTTGGTCATTTTGGCATTGCAGTTGATGATGTGAGTAAAACAGTAAAACTTATACCATTTGAGATCTCTAGCTTCTTGCATATTCTTTGTTGCAATGTAAGGGTAAAATGGTCATTTAGGGATAATTTTTTTTGAGTTTTTGCAGGTTGCCAAGACTGTTGATCTGATAAAGGCAAAGGGTGGCACTGTAACTAGAGAACCTGGTCCAGTCAAAGGTGGAAAGTCAATTATTGCTTTTGTTGAAGATCCTGATGGTTATAAATTTGAACTTATAGAAAGAGGGCCCACACCTGAGCCACTCTGTCAAGTCATGCTTCGTGTTGGAGATCTTGATCGTTCAATCACCTTTTATGAGAAGGTATGAATCTTGTTTTTATATAATTATATAAATATATTTATATCCAATTTGTAAACTTTAGGCTTTTGGTATGGAGCTCTTGCGCCGAAGAGATAACCCTGAATACAAGGTAAATTATATAAAAACAACTAATTTTTTTAATTTATCAGATATTTATAGATAAACTGAATAGACTTTTGTATTGTTTATTATTTAATTATTTAATTATGTAGTATACTATTGCAATGATGGGATATGGACCTGAAGATAAAAGTGCTGTATTGGAGTTGACTTATAATTATGGGGTTACTGAATACGATAAAGGAAATGCTTATGCTCAGGTCAATAAAAAAAAGTGCATTATATTATTAAATATTATCTGAATTTGGGAACTAATTATATTTTTTATAAAAACAGATAGCGATAGGCACAGATGATGTTTATAAAACTGCAGAAGCAGTTAAACTTTTTGGCGGGAAAATTACTAGAGAACCAGGACCATTACCTGGCATCAGCACTAAAATTACAGCCTGTTTGGATCCTGATGGTTGGAAAACTGTAAGTAAAATCCCATAATAGCAACATACTTTTCACTTGTTTAATAATTATTATAACATTTTACTTTTATTTCTTCTTATTACAACATTGTACTTTGAAAAATCTATCTAGTTATTATAGCAATTTTCACTGCTGTAATTTGGTAAAATTGTCAAAGTAGAATGTTGTGATAAGAAAATATTGAAACTACAATGATATAATTGGATGAGATCTATAAAGGTTAAATATTGAAAGTAGAATGCTTTATTGGTGCAGGTTTTTGTGGATAACATTGATTTTGTGAAGGAACTAGAATGAGAATTTGGTGGTTGTTTTGGTGAAGGAAAACATGTAGGGAAATGGAAAGCCCCATTTTGTAGATAATGGAAAAGTGGTTGTAACTTGTGAGAATGGCTAAAAATAATGTATAGACCATTTTTTGTTATGGTGAAGTTAGTTGTGAAAGAACCAAAGAAAAGAGAAAAGAGTAAGAGTAATTAGGCATATTTGGTAAATTACTATGTGTATCAATTATCAATTGTTTCAAATTTGTTGTCATTTGTGTTGGAAGAATCTTAAGGTGTCTACGTGCGAAATAATTAGCAAATCGTATAAACGTGGATGTGAAATAATTTGAATGTTATGGAACTTTGAGTCATGGTTGTAATTCTTCCTTTCGGTCTCTTATTCCAAAGGTTAGACCCAATCACATAAAAAGACTTTGTTTCTTTTGTTTTATTAGGTTCTGATTGACGTGATAGTTGAAAAGTTAGCTTTTAGCTTATCAATAAGTTATCTCAGGTAGGTCATCAAAAGTTGGTTTATAAGTTATGAGGTTTCACCAAATACTAAAGTGCAATAAACTCAAAAAATAAGCTAGCTTAAATTCGTCAAACAAAGTTTTGATAAGTATAGTTGCATCAAAATGATTGCCAAATTATTGGCACGTCTTGTGATCAGTTTGGTGGTAAGTAAGGAGTAATCGGCTTGCATTGAGGGTCGAAACATCCTTGACAACTTCATTCTAAATGAAGCTTGTAGTTGGGCTAAAAAGTTTAGAAAGAAGATTATATTTTTTAAGGTAGATTTTTTACAAAGGTTGTCTCACTTAAGTGGGAGTTCTTAGACTATGTTCTTTAGCAATGGGTTTTGGTGGCACTTCCACAAGTGTAAAGTGTTTGGTCTTGGTTTGGAAAAATCAAGGGTTGCAAAACATTGGTCTCTTGGTTGGCTCCAATATGTCTTGCAAAACATTGGTCTGATATGCTTCGTTCCAAACTTGGTCTTTGAAAAGCTAGAAGCTCTTTTAGGCGGAGGGCTAAATCTTGTAAAGAGGGTTCTTGGTAGCTTGCATTTGTATCATTTGTCATTATTCAAGGCTTCTACAAAGGTGATTGAAACTTGGTCAAGTATTATTACTCATATATATTATTTGTTATTAATAGCAATTAAATTTTAACATCTAATTATTCATATTTTATTTGTCATATATAATGATATAAGAGTGGACATAATCGAGAGCCATGGTGTTCGGGTTGCAATTGGTACCGCCTGGAACATGGTCTGTTGTGGACGGTACCGTCAAATATGACATGTATTTGCATACATATACCGATTTTTGTGGGATCGGAGGTTTGAATGAGTATGTGTTTCCTCTTTCTCTTCTCTCCTCTCAACTTGTACCATGTGTTTGCATACATATACCAATTCTTGTGTGTAAGGTTTGAAGGGATAAAAGTGAAAGAAAAGAAAAGGTTGATGTGATGCATATGTGTCATCAGAGTTAAAAGAGTTGAGAGTCTTGCATTCCCACCGCCCTAAAAGATTAAAATTATGTTGAACCGATTAAAAATAATAATATGAGTGCAAAAACAATTTGTAAATAATTTTTTTACGCCTTTGCAATTCACTATGATCGAAATATTTAAATCGATCGTTCACACAAATGACAGCTAACACTAAAATTATCAAAACATCATAGACTTCTTTAATACATAGTATCGTCATATTGGGTTGGGAAAATATCCTTTAACATATAAGAGTTACCAATTGGTAGAAACTCCAACCCTTTAAATAGATCAAAATATGTTCTTTCGTAAGTATTTAGAAAACTGAAACTATATATACATGGTAAAACGGTTGTATTGGGGAATGATTAATAACTTATGTCACGAGTAACCAACAAACTGAGTTTCATAGTCCATGGTGAAATGGTTGCATCAGTAATATATAAAAATTTATAGCCCTAAAAAATATCTCGCGATAAATAGTATATAAACTAGTACATATGGAACTATAAATAGTTAAGACAAAAAATTTATTTAGTATCCACGATATCTTAGCAAGCTCTATTTAGCATAGATTTTTGTAATTGTTGCATCTCTTAAAAGTTTCTCGTGAAAAATATATTATCACAAATGTTCAAAAGTTTTGATGTAAGCAAGAAAAAGTACTATCACAAATATGTAATATACGATTTGTAAGTACAACAATCAGTTTGTTAAATTCCAAGATAGAAATAGTTTTATGGTTACATAAATCCTTGTGAAACTATGAATTCCAAGATAAAAATACTTTTATGGCTATACAAAAGGTTAATGACCTAGGAGGGTAACGAATTTTGGCATTTGTCCATATTTAGGTAATCTTAATTTTTCGTACATATTTGACCATTAAACTTGTTTGATCTGTTCAAAATAGGGTAATATGGTTAGTAATTACCGGTGATATTACCCTATAATGAACAAGCCAAACAAGTTTATTGGTTAAATATGTACGAAAAAAAACATTGTTACTTAAATATAGATAAAAACAAAAGTTTCTTACCCGTTTTGGTAATATTAAATTATTTATGCTAAGTGCAAGTAATCATAAGACACATTGATGTGACATGGGATATGGTCTTGGTGTTAGATCAGGATTGCAGATATGAAGTAGGTGTCGTTAGTGAGTTCCCGACTTGATTCCTAATTGGCACCGGATAACAAAACCATCAGAACATCACATGGACAAAACCAAAATTCCTTACCCGTTTTGGTATTATTGAGTTCTTTATGCTAAGTTCAAGTATCATAAGACACATTGGTGTGACAAGGAATCGGGCCTTGGTGTCAGATCAAGATTGTAGACCATTAGAATGCCTCATGGACTGTAACACAATAGCAGGCTCCGACGATAAAGTTAGATCAATGTGTATGAGATGGTTAGGTCTTGGACCAACCCAAATTAGGCCCAGTTAGTTAAACGCTAGGTTGTATGCGCTTAAGGGGCTAGGTTGTGTGCACTTTAGAAGCTTGGTAGCACAACCTAGCCCACAACTAGATAGGTCTGAATTGGGCTAGCCTAAGCCTAACCTAATTGTCCATTGACCTAGATCTATAAATAGAACACCTCCTCCTACACGAGGAGAATTTCTCATTCTCATGCATGAGCCTCTAGTTTATACATACACTCTTCCCACCAAGATGGTTCTTCATCCAACAGAAACCATCTTCTCATACAAAGCGATTTAACTTGACTGTTGGAGTCTGCTCCCAAGGTACAGTCCCTGAGACGGTTCTAACAGTTTTGTTCTCTGATGGCAGCTAGGAATCAAGTCAGGAATCCGTCAACGACACCTACTCCAAAACTGATACCAAGACCCGATAACTCGATTTCATGTCACATCAGTGAGTCTTATGACTACTTGCACTTAGCATAAATAACCCATTATTATCATAACGGACAAAGAACTTTGGTTTTTGTCCATATTTAAGTAACCATTTTTTTCGTACATATTTTACCAGTAAATTTGTTTGACTTTTTCATAAGAAAGTAATATCACCTGTAATTACAAGTCACATTACCTTATTTTGAACAGGTCAAATAAATTTAATGGTCAAATATGTATGAAAAAAACATAAATATTGACAAAGACCAAAGTTCGTCACCATTCTAGGCAATTAACCCTTGTACAAATCTCTGTTACACTATGGATTCATACATCATGATATCATATGACCCTTATCCAAGCAACCCTTAGAATTAACTTTGCTTACTTCCCACATTTCGGGGGTGTTTGTGTAAGCTTTTTTTTTTTGGGCTTAAGCTTATGAGCTTAATAGCTTAATAACTAATGAGCTTATTAGCTTATAAGGTAAAAAAAATGTTTGGATTAGCTTATGACTTAAAAGCTAATAAGCTCTTTTTAAAATAGTGTTTTTGGGTTAGTTTATTTTTTGTAAAATGACCAAAATGGACATGCTTGCATTACACAATTGGGTAAGAGAGTCATGGTGTTTTGGAAAAAAGAAATTAGGATAAATACATAAATATACATAAATAAGCTCATCTATCGAGAAAAAAAAATTGAATTGAAATGGATTATGCTCAAGTTAATAAGCTAATTTAAATAAACTCGTAAGCTTAAGTTAATAACTTAATCCAAACATTCATAAGACCAACTGCAACCAACCACTAAAACACAATTATAAAGGCCAATAAAGTGGTGTTCTCATTCCAATCAACCTTTAAAAAACACCATTTTAGTGTTTGGGGCAACTTCACACACCAAATATGAATGTCAAACTACTTAGCCTCTAAAAATCACAGCTTTAGTGATTGGTTGGAATGCAAACACTAAAAATTTTAGTATTAACAAATCACCAATTTAGTGATTTATGGTTGAAGTTGCTCTAAGCACAAAAGCACAAAATATAATCATAAATAAAAAGCCTCAAAAATAAGTTAAAGCATACACCTCTTGGTTTCAACAAAACCCTGTGTTCCGTGTTACCCCTCTCCTCCTCCTTGTTCAAGACTGTCTTAAACCCTAAAAGATGGGAGACGAAGAACAAACCACGAACAACAAAGTAAAAACAGTAGATACCAACAACCAGCAATCGGGGAAGAAGAGAAAAAAGCAGAAAGTTGCCATCTTCGGCAACTACAGGAACTACTACACTTATCGGGTAAACCCTAATTTCTCAAAATAACTTCGCTTTTTGTTCGTCTATTTTCATGTCGGCAAACGTGTGTATGTATTTATTAATACATAAAGTTTGCTATTTTACATTGATGCTAAACTCGTTAGCATGTGACTTATATCTGTTCAAACTTCGCACACAGCTTGAGCTGAAAGGTATTGACGAGGTTTAAATGTTTTAGGGGTTAATTGTTTAGAAGACATTTTTTTCTTCGGGTAAATGGAAAAGGAAAACTGAAGTTTGGTGGTGTTTTGATGTTCAATTCCAAAGTAATTATTGGGAAATCAGATAATCATTTGATTGAAGTCATGGATAGTTATAGGTAGTTTTGTTCAACTGTTCTATTCAACGTTATGCTCATTGTTGAATTTTAACTCACTAAAGTACGAATTGTAGTTTCTCAAGTTCATTTGCAGCTTCAATTCTACTGATCATGGCTAATTTCATATACCTGTGAAAACAGTATTTGTTTGTTCTCATGTTCTTCAGTGAATGCTTAACATTCATATCTGTACTCATGCATTCATCTATCAGTGCAAATTTAATCCATTTCTGATTAATCCATGTTGCAGATTGATCAAGGGTTGGAAGAAGATCCTAGGATTAAGATCATGAAAAAGGAATGGTTCGAAGGGAAAACTTGTCTTGACATTGGTTGCAATAGCGGATTGATAACCATTACAATTGGTAATCTTCAATTTCATGTTTTACTCAGCTCATTGAACAGATTCTATGTTTCTATGGCAATTAAATCTGAATGTAATTTTCTTGATTCCAGCAAAAAACTTTGGTTGCCAGAAAATCCTTGGAGTTGACATAGATTCAGCCCGAATTGAGGATGCACATTGGAATCTTAGGAAAATTGTGAAGATGAGTGAAATAAAAAAGCAACATTCAGGAGATTCTCTTTCACATTTATTTGACATTGTCTCTTTCAAAAAAGATAATTTCGTTCAAAGTTGGTCAACTCCAGGGGAGAAATACGATACCATTCTCTGGTAATTTCATTTTTTCCTTTATTAAATCACTGGACAGGACATGACAAGACAGACAACATTGTACTGTATTTGGATTAATTGGACTGAAACTGAGACCGATGTCAGTAGGACAAAATGTGTAGCTTTTTGTCCCACTCAAAAAGGTATTACAGGGATTCACTAATCTCTTGTTTGTGCAAAAGACGATAATGCCCTCTTTATTTGCTATACCTTGCAGCCTAAGTGTTACAAAATGGGTTCATTTGAATTGGGGTGATGAGGGGTTAATAACACTGTTTTCGAAGGTTTGGAGGCTTCTTCAACCTGTAAGTGTTATGGTCATTTTTGTCATTTTGCTTTGAAATTATTATCTTTTGAAAGGACATTTCTCTTTTCTCTTTAATTACATTTTTGATATATAATTCTTAGGGGGGAGTTTTCATTTTGGAACCTCAACCATGGACATCATATGTGAGTAATCGTCAAGTGTCAGAGGTTTGTATTTATTTATATCCTAAATCTATCTTTCAACAATTTTACAATTCAGTTTTGTTAATTTGAAGGTGTAATTTTTTGCATTAATATTTTTTTATTTTCTGTTATATGAAAAGGTAGCAGCGACTAATTACAAGAAGCTTGAGATTTTCCCGGAAAATTTTCAGGAGATTCTTCTAGACAAGGTTCGTACTTTTTTTTTTTTTTTTTTTTTTTTTTTCCTTTTGACATGCGATCTATTTATTTGATTAAATTTATTGATAGTGAGATAATTTACATTTATTATGTTTCTTAATTGTAGATTGGGTTTCGTGAAATTGAGAACTTAAGTGCGAGTTTATCTGGAAGCAAAACAGGATTTAATCGACCTGTTTTAGCTTTATGGAAGTGAGATTAGTTTACTTTTTCTTTTTGGTCTTTGGGTTTTCCATTTTTGAGGTCTCTTGGAAATCCTTGATAGTTGATGATTATGTATTGTGAATGAATATATACATGGTTCATAGAAAAGTTTATATAATGCCAATATCAGTCCTTCAGTTTCTTGTTTTTGATCCTTTTTACCCTTTCACATCCCAAAAGTAACTATTGCACGAAAGATACAATCATATAAGAAACTAGGACGTATGTGTTAGATGACTGAAACAAAATGTGTGAGATGTGTAGAACATTTTAAACTGTAAATTCTTCAATGGTTATTTTTGGTATCATTTTGTAATTTTATTTGATAAATGTGTTAGTAACAAAAGTGGTTAGAATTAGGCTAATGCAGTATCTTGTAATATAATCTGTAAGCAATATTCCCATTCTTTCTAATTAACCAATTATCATACAACTTTCGAACTATGTAAATTACTAAATTAGGCTCGTAAAATACAAAAAAGAATATCAACAAAAACTACATTTTCGACTTAATTAGTCAAACATACCTTCTGTACACATAAGAAAAATCTCTTAATCAATGTGAACCCAAATACCCTTGGCGGGAATACCGCGGAAATTCACAAATAAAACATAGTACCCCGGAGGAGCAATCTTTCCAGACGGCGGCGCCACGGCCATTATCAAGTTATTAGCCACCGTCTTCAGCGGCAGAACCAACAATCTTTGATTCATCGAAAACCCATGAGTCGTGAATGGAGGATAAAGCATCGTCACCTTCACATCTTGAGGATTCGCTTTCCCTCCATTAAATTTTACCGAAATCTTGAATTCTTTCCCGTACTTCAACACCTTATCTGACGCCTCCGGCGAGACCACCGGCCGGTGGATGGCGAGCGCCGGGTCAAGATAATGAGGCGAAAATTTCTCCACTCGCAGCTCCGTCGGGTATGGAACCTTGTAAAGGTATTTCGCATGTGGGTTACTTCCGGCGACCAAAACTTTCCCGTCCGGTACCAACGCCGCCACGGAATGGTACATTCTGGCGATATTCGTCGGAGCCATTTCTTTAAATCGTTGGCCCATGGGTTTATTCGGTGTGTATAACACAGGAGTGAAATTCGGATCTATAGCGTTTTCCCAACCAGCGACACCCTTCGTTGCGCCGTTTATCATTAAAAGATCGCCGGTGGGGAGGTGGAGGAGGTCGCCCATACATCTTCCAGATGGCATATCCTGTTCTTTCTCCCACGTCGAAGTCGGATTCATCACCTTCAGTCTATGGCAATCTCGGAGCGCCGGCATAAACACTCTATTCTTGTTGTTCGTGTGTTTGCTGTCAACCGACGCGTACGCTTCCTGTGCATTACCACCGCAAACCACCACCTCTGCGTGGATCTCCCCTGGGCCGACGATTAACGGAAAGAGAGCAGACATCCCGGAAGGTGGGTAATTCCGAGCTCCGCCTTCCAATTTAGGAAACTGCCGGACAATGTTGCCGGTTCGTGGCTGGAAGGTGATGGCGCGGTCGTTGGCGAAGAGCCAAACGTTGCCGTCGGGGAGGAGGAAGAGGAAGGGGTAGAGGTTGTTTTCGATGTACATTCCAGGGCCGGGTTTTCTAGGTACGGTGGTTTCTTGGAGGAATTTCAGGTTGAATTTCTTTGGCGCGAATTCCAAAAGATGTGGAGGTACGAGTTCGTAACTGAAGGAATTCCGGCCACCAACCACCACCGCGCTTCCGTCTTCTAAAATCTGGTTAGATGAATACCTGTAACATCATTTCCGGCGAAGGGTCAAAACTGAAACAATTGAATTTTTTTTCTTTTTTTGTCACTTTCATCTAATAAAAGGGTTATAACTTGTAATTAGTAATTACCATCTCTTATCAGCAAGAATGTTTTTCTTCTCGACAAAGTTAGCTTTTGGGTCTTTTAACGACAACGATCTAACGGATCTAGAACCGCCTTTAGTTCCGCCGGTAGCCACCAAGTCGCCGTTGGGCCACAGGTTTCCCGACGAACACCATGGTTCTCCATCCATCTGCAAAATTTACTCTCATGTAAATTAGCTAAAAACGCTTATTTTGACTTATTTATTTATTATATTTTAACAAATATTTAGTTCTTGTGTAGTTGGGTTTTTTTAACTTAAAAGTCATTATGTTAACAATTTGTTGGTTTTGTCTCTACAATAATTCTTGGTCTATTAAAGCTAAAAGTTTGTAAAAAAAACAATTTTACTATTTTTGTAGCTTTACCCGGTAAAGCTAGAAAAAATTACGAAATCAAACATATCTATCAAACTCAAAGCTTTAAAGAACCAAAAATACGTAAAAATATAAAATTGAAAAAAAATATGACAAAAGTCTGACATTAATGACCCAAAAGTCGTTGAAGGGGCAAACTCAAAAACTTTAATGAATCGAAATACATAAAAACAGTTTTACCATTTTGCAGTTTATCTGTTAAAACCGAATATTTTTGTCAAATATAAAGGCTTTTATAAACTAGAAAAAAAATGACAAAATCAAACATTTTTGTCAAACTCAAAAGCTTTAAAGAACCAGAATATAAAAATGAAAAAGAAATTACAAAATTCTAGCATTAATGACCTAAAAATTGTTGAAATGACAAAACTGACAAATGTTGTAAAAGTGAAGGACTTTTATGTCAAAAACACTTTCTAGTTCAGGTTTGGTTTAACACTGAATCATTCAGTTTCTAACAAACAGTTAATAAATCTATAAATGGATACTATTAATAAATCGTTAGAATCAACTAATGAAAATACGATATTAAAGAAAAACGACGCACGTAAATTGTCCGGCTTTGTCCAGTTTCAACATCATAAGCAATGGCATGTGCATAGCAATCAGGTTTAAAGTTCATCTCAGGCGATTTCGGGCAGTTGCCCGGTGGGCCCAACTCCCGGGCAGATGGTCCAAGCGACGTTGTATCAAACCACACCGCCTTATTGTTCGACATCAACTGGAATTGCATGGCGGCAACACCTGCATTCGGGTTGTCGATGGCCCACGAGCCCTTAAAATTGGTCTGAAAATCATTTCCGGCGGCCGGAATCGGAGGCACGGGTCCCACCGGTATGGCAGGTCCACGACCTTTGCCACCGCCTTTGCCTTTGCCGCCCTTGCCGGATTTTCTGGGACCAAGGTTGGGATTTGGACCGGCGGTGGCAACTGAAAATACAAGGCATAGAGGGAGGAGGAGGTGGTGGAGGGAGGTTTTTAACGGCGGAGACATTATTGGAGCCTTTTTTCAGGTGACTGGAATAATTGTTTGTGTTTTTAATAGGTGAAAAAAGTTTGTCCGAAAATAAAGGGAACCCGTACACAAATCTATTGGTTTGCTAGATTTTGGCGAGTTTATAATGGTATGTAATAAGCAAAAGATTGATTTTACACTATTAAAATATATTTTTTCACTACACTTTTAAGGTGTTCTTATTAGGACATTTAAAACCCATTTATACATTTAAAATATTTAAGGGTATGTTGGGCATTTTCTAGAGTATTAACATGTTGTAAAAAAACCATAAGACCATCCACAATAGGAGCTATTTATGATTTTTTTTACACCAAAAAAGTCTTGAAATTGAAAAACAAAAATTAATGGATAAGCTTTTTCAAACCAGTGGACAACCATATATATATCGTCAAACCAATGTACACATCTTGCATATAAATTCATCTTTAAATTATATTATATATATGTATGCAGTACGTAAGCCTAAAGATGAGACCCACAAAATGAACATGATCACTTCACAAGAAAATATAACTATACAAACCATCGGTTAATCTGTTTTACTACTCCTGCATGATACCACATACACAACTAATTACGAACTTTACCCTTCTCCATGGCTCGAGGGGCTGTGAAATGAGACATCAAACAAGGGCAAAAACGTCAAATATGATCATATGATCAAAATTTGGATTCAAAGATAGACGAGTGATAATGATAATTATTAGATTTGTGGGGTTCTTGATTCTTGCTGGAAAAAATCAAGATTAAGGACTTCTTGATTCTTCTTTAAGCAAGTAAAAATATTACTTTTGTTGATACTTTTTTGAACAATCATGATTATGGGTGTTCTTGATTCTTGAATCAAAATTATGAGATTTTCTTGATTTTTCTGTGAATATTTGAAATTCCAAGTTTCTTGTATTTAGGGCTTTACCTAAACCGGTTGCATCTGAACTCTTCATGATCCGCATCCTCTTGCAAGAACCAGTAAACATACTGCAATAGTCAATAACATTTTAAAAAGTCAAACAACACATTTGACCAAAATATTTTGACTTTTCAGGTCAAAGAAGATAAATGAAACACAAGTTTTTTTGTTAGGGGGGGGGGGGGTGATATTTCCACTTATATTTTTTATTCATCTATTTTTTTAAACACCTTCAAAGAAGATAAATGAAACACAAGTTTTTTTTTGTTAGGGGGTGATATTTCCACTTATATTTTTGATTCATCTATTTTTTTAAACAAAAAGGTGTTTTGACTTTTATACCCCTAAAATGAGGGGTATAAAAGTCAAAAGTCATCGGCTTTTCTTTTATTCAATTTTGAAAATATGAAACTTACTCCCAGGGAACATCACCAACAAGCATCAAAATCACCATCTTTGTCTTCATACGTTAGTACATACTCAGGCCCATTAAGAAGATCCATTGGGCTTTCACGCAACCCTAATTGAAAAATTCCAACAAATTAAACAACTTTACATAAACCCTAATCGAATCAAGAGATGTGAAATCACTTGCCATACTTCAATCCCTTAATAGCATTTAAAAATTAAAAGAAGTCATAATATGAGCTAATTGGAAATTGCTTCATCTAGAACTCACACATCTTTCTTTTTTCCATTTAAATAATATGATGTCTGGATAAATGATTTAAAAAAATATATTTGAGAAAATGATGAGACTTGGGGAAATGGAAGGAAAAAAATGAGAAAATTTGTAAATAGTTAAGACTTTGAGTAAATTAAAAAATCAAGGGCAAAATAATCTTTTTAGGTAAGACAAGGACCAAACGCGTAACAAAAACAAACAGTAGGGACCTTCCGAGTTAAAAAAATAAGTTAGGGACCAAACACGCAAATTACCCTAAACCATAGGGACCACTCGTGTAATTTACTCTAGGACTTAATGGGAAAAGTATATTTTCTTGACTTTCTTTAAAAAGTCAAATTCTTTTTGCATAAAGTAAAAAAAAAAACAGTCATATATACCAACTTTCCATATTAAAGTCCTTTTTGCATAAAGTAAAAAAAAGAAATACCCATATTGAGTTCAACACAATAAAAACATGTTTCTTTATATTGAAGTGTCAAAGAAGGGCAAAATGGTCATTTATGCCCAAGTCTGTCTCCATTAAGTCAAAAGAAACAACAACTCAAAATGTAACTAGTATTAAGAGGGTAAAAAGGTAAATAAGTTACCAAGAGTGAAGCTACAAAACATTTTTTCTAAAGCCGATGAAAGATCCAAGTAGCTTTTGTAGATTTTGAGATCCACTTTTCTCAAATATGGAGCTCCATCCATACTAACTTTCACATAAACACATTGCGATCCTGTGTCTTCTTCATTTTTCGTGTTTTTTACAACCATACTATTCTTTCTAAAAGATCGAATTGGAGGCCATCCCACCACCTGTCCCCTGATTCAAAAGTCAAACTTTGACTCTTTTGATCATGTATGTTATCATACGATGAATCAATATGTGTACTTATGTGTATATGACATATGTATATGTATATCAGCTTTAAGTAATTTATTTCCGTTAGTTTAAGTTTCGTAATTGATATTATATGAGCTAAAATTTCTACTTATGTTTGGAAAATTAGATTAAAGGGGTTGTTTGGATGTCTGCTTTGAAAGTGATTATTATAAACGCAAAAATCATAATTTGTTTTAATCTAGGGATAATTAGGGAAATTGGATTTAACTCTAAACAGTTCAGTATTCAGTATAAAAAAAAGTTGTCCCTAAGTCTTCGATTAAATTAATAGTTTAATACTTTGACTTCAAAAGTCAACAGAATTACTTTAATTTCAACATTGATTCACATAGAGCCAAGAGGCATTCTTTCAGGAAAAAAGAAATCCATAATCCATAAAATGGTATAGGAAATACTATAAGCACATATATGAAATTTGTTGTTAAAAACTTACAAAAATGTATATAAGTTATAAAAATAAGTTAATACAAGTTTGACTTCTAAAGTCAAACTTATCAGACTTGCAGATAAGAGAGAAAAATCCTGACTTTGAAGCTTGTAACAGAATCTTATTATTTGAAGCACAAATTTAAGAGTGCTTTTTCAAAGTGATTATGGCGACTTGAAAAATCATAATTTGTTTGAATCTGGGGATAATTGGGTAATTTCAATATTGACTCAAAGATAGCCATTCTTTCAGGAAAATTTCCGCATGCCATGAAATAGTACAAAAAGTACTATAAGTAATGAAAACATTCGTCTTAAAAACGTAAAAGATGCAATTAAAAGTTATAAATATATTTAGTACAAGTTTCACTACGAAAGTGAAGCTTATAAAACGAGCAAAGAAGAGAGCAAAATCCTTACTTTGAAGCAGCAACGGAATCTTGACCATTTGATGCAGGAATTTGAGAGTGTTTGTCGTGTAAATAATTCTTAGATGAAGATGAAACAACAGCGTCCTTTACAGAACTAGGGTTCTTATTTTCACCTCTTGGAGAAGACGAAGAAGATGAATAAAAGGCACTATTTTTAACAAAATCAACCTCAGATCCACCATTATCAGAGAAACCCCATGTTCCAGAAGAAGTTTTAATGGTGTCTGAGAAAACTCTTTTGGCTCCTGACACCAGAATCTTCAGGGCAGCTGTACCACCTCCATTGATGGTGTTTCTCTCAGGCGACTCGGAACCAGGCAGACCGAGTCTTAACTCAGTGGCTTTCAAATTCAAATCTTGCTTGTGGGTTATTTTCTCCATTTCTGCTTCTGATGAGGAAATGTAATCGAGTTCTTTTAAGGACATGGACATTGAAGATGGAAGGGTTTTACAGCATGAAAATGGAAAGAACAGTGTAAGTATCCAGGTGGAAAAAGAAATGAGATTGCTTTGTTCCCTATTGTTTTAGTAACATTATAATATAATAACTATTTTTCCTATTTTATATATCAAGTACAAAAATTGGTAAAAAATTGGTTGAAAAGTTATATAAGATGGTAAAAGAAGTCATGTAAAACGGTGATGTTATTAATATAGATAAAAAAAACAAAAATAATAAAAAGACAAAATTAATAATGTTCTTTAATTTTTTATTCCAACAATAGGAAAATCTATATCTATATATGCAATATAGATATAGATATCTACTATTATAATAGTAAATTATACAAATGGTCCTTATGGTTTGTGATAATTTGCATGTTTGGTTCTTAATCAATTTTTTTAACTCGGTAGGTTCCTACTATTTGTTTTTGTTACACATTTGGTCCCTGTCTTCCTTAAAAAGACTATTTTGCCCTTGATTTTTTAATTTATTTAAATAAACACAACCCAACCCCACTTCCACATCACCTTACCTTACCTTATCTATCTCACCTTATTTCAATAAATTAAAAAATCAATGGAAAAGTAATCTTGGTAAGATAGGGACCAAGCGCGCAATAAAAACAAACTGTAGGGACCTTCCGAGTTAAAAAATAAGTTAGGGACCAAACATGTAAATTACCCCAAACTATAGGGATTATTCGTGTAATTTACTCTTATTATAACAGAGGTCATCATATTTATTTGAAATTTTTATGATTTTTCATTTCCCAATATTTAAAAACAACCATTCAAAAGTTTCTTTAACTTATATTTTAAATCAAAACTCTCACAGCTATTCAACTTTTGATTACTTAACCACTACATCTCAAAAGTTTTATAATAAAACACACTTAATTATTATTTATGACACTTACTTTGTTAATAATTTAAGATAGACATATATATAGTTTACATAGGTAGTTGGAAAAAACACAAATTTACATTGAAATTTTATTAGACATAAAAAAAGAGATGACTTGAAAAAACACAAATTTTATTTTTGGGATGCATTTATTTACATTGAAATCTATTAGACAAAATTGCAAGTTTGGTGTGTGTGATATGTCAAAAATTGGATGTTTGGTTCAAAATGTTTTGAAGTTGCATCAGTGGTCTAAAAGGTTTTATCTGTTTCGAATTTAGTCCAAACTTATTTGAAAACATTTAAAATGACGAATTTTCTTTTTTAATTTAGTTTTTTTATTTGCTTTACAACGATTAGAAAAAGAAAATCTCCCTATGTGTGTGTTTGATAAACATCCAAGAACATATTCATAGATTCAAGAACATTCAAGAACATCTTCCGCCACCACCACCGTTCGACCACCGTCCGCCACCACCACCGTCTTCCACCTCTATCTCCACCTAAACTTTGTCTACCACTTCATCTCCACCAAAAAATCATCCCAAAAACAAAAACGATACACAAAATTTGGGTTTGTTCTTGAGTTCGCCCATATCTGATGAATAGACACACACAAAATCTTATCTGATGAACACACACACACACATAAAATCAGATCAGATGTACACACACATACACACATGAAATCAGATGAACATACACAAAATCAGATCATATGTACACACATAAAATCTGATGAACACATACACACACGAACTCTGAAGAACACACACACACACACACGAAATCAGATGAACACACACACACACACACATACATACAGAATCTGATGAACACACACCCTAACTAAACCAGAACCTCTTGATGAACAGATCTGTAACACCTGCAAGTACGGGCTATGCATTTAAAATAAAGTAATCAATAATTTTATAAAAAGAAAAACAAAGCTAGCAAGAAACTAGCAACAAACACAAAAGTTAAGGCAGGAGAGGATTATTCATCCAGGCAGTCCAATTAATCCTAGCCTTAGTGTTACGAAAAGAAAATCACCTAAAAGAATGCTCAACAATGCTATCAAAAAGAAATTACTTCTTGTACTTATTCGGCCTAAAGATAACCTCATTCCTGTAAGTCCAAAGAATCCAAATCACCGTCAAGCACACTGACTCCACAATCACCCTTTCCATCCGACCCACCGGCCTAGCACCCACCCAATCTACCAAATCAGTTAGAGAATCAAAGACCGAGAACTGAACACCCATCTAAAGAGAAACACGATGCCAAATTTGTTGAGCTAAGGGGCACTAGAAAAACAAATATATTTTTTTGAAGCACTTTGACAAATAGTACACAAAGATGAGTCCAACTCCACTCCTCTATCAATGAGATTGGCCCGGAGAGGCAATTTGTCTAACATAAACCGCCACATAAAAACATTTACTTTAATAGGAACATATTTATTCGATCTTGTAGTACCTACCACCGGAAGACGAACGCCATCTATATGTCTTCGAATAGACTTAACAGAAAAAAACCAGTGGAATCAAGATCCCAATTCCATATATCCGGATGAGACCCAACACAATAGGACTAAGAAAATCCATTAAGTTTTCAAGTTGCAACGATTCAACCCCTCCCCTAATAGAATGATGCCAAAAAGGATTCCACCCATTCGGAGACCAAAGATCACCAACAAGAGCCTTCTGCACATTAGACAAAGCATAAATCCTATGAAATTGGATTTTAAAAATCAACCCACAGCACCAAGCGTCGTCCTAAAACCTAGCAAGAGACCCATCCCCAATAACAATAGACATCAAATTTTTATCAACCATATTTCTCTCATGCAGCTGATTAATAGAGCCAATAATTTTATGCCAAACTCCCCCACCACCATAAAGCCGAGAACCACTCCCAAAACCTGCATCGGGACCATACAAGCACTTAATGAGATGAACCCAAAGAGAATCTATCTCATGTACGAATCTCCACCTCCATTTATAAAAAAAAGAGCAAGATTAAAAGCATCTAAACTCCCAATATCTAATCCACCCTTGTCTTTAGAGTTAACGGCGAGATCCCATATCAACATCCATTCCCCAAAAAATGAGATCTATAAGATTCCAAAAGTTGACAAACCGTTGAAAGAAGTCTAAAATCAAAAAGTAATAAATACCTAAACTTCCCAAGACCGACATAGTTAAAGTCAACCTGCTACCAATAGAGAGTAACTTCACATTCCAATAAGATAACCTTTTTCGAATCTAGTCTCTAATTAAATCCCAAGATTTAACTCGCACCATAGAATCACCCACCGGAACACCAAGATAACTAAACGGAAAAGTCGTCGGAGAACACCCAATAATAGAGGCTAACGAAATAACTTCATCAAAAGCCACCCCAACTCTTAACAAATTAGATTTGGAGAGATTAATCTTCAAACCCGAGATCATATAAAAACAGGTTAAGATTCGAATAAGGTTACAAACATTCCTCTCATCCCATTCCCCTAAAAATAAAGCAGCATCTACATAAAAAAATATGAGAGATCTGAAGATTAGACGAACCCAAAGAAACTCCACGAACAAGGACATTTGCGACGACATCCTCCATTGCCACATGAAGGCCTTCCATAGCTATAATGAAAAGAAAATGATAGATAGGATCCCCCTGCCTCAAGCCTCTAAATAGCTTAAATTCATCAGAAGGGTTACCATTAATAAGAACAGAGGATCTAGAATTCTTGAACATACCTTTAATCCAAGCTCTCCAATTATCACAAAAACCCATAAACCACAAAATCTGGTTTAAGTACTCCCAAGAAATAGAATCTGATGCCTTTTCGAAATCAACCTTGAAAATCAAAGAGTTTTTTCTTTTTTCTTTTAAACCGTGCAACAAGCTCATTAACCATTGAAGACCCATTAAGAATTTGACGCCCTTTAAGAAAAGCTGACTGCTCAACCCCAATACCATCATGCAAGACCAAGGAAAGGCGTTTAGCTAAAAGTTTAGCTACAATTTTAAACTGCATGCCAATAAGACTGATAGGACTATAATCCTTAATCATAATCGAATTATCAACCTTTGGGATGAGAGTGATAAAAGAGGAATTACAGCCAACCGGGACGATGGGGTTATAATAAAATTCCTGCACAAAAGCAACAACATCCTCACCCAAAATATCCCAATAATGTTTAAGGAAAGCGAAAGAGAACCCATCGGGACTTGGTGCTCGATCCACACCATAATCCCACACCATTTCCTTAATCTCCTGAGCCGAAAATGCAACTTTAAGAGAAGAAAATATACTAATCCGAGACGCCAACTTGATTCCGATAAACGGTTGAAATTTAGAAGAGTAAAAATCATAAAAATTCTTTTTTTACAATGGTCGAATCTGTAATCCACTCCCCGTCTATAGAAATACCATGAATCATCATCTGATGCCTACGCTTTTTTAAAAGACCATGAAAAAATTGAATAAACGACTTAACTTTAGCTTGTTGCGCGACATCTAAGGCACTAATCTTTTCAATCTTCGCCACCTCACCTAAAAGTTGTTTCCTTTCATCAGGTAAATGCGTAGTAGAGCTACCATCATCAACCAAACGATAAATGTCACTTGACCGGGACTGAAGATTAAGCAACAAAGTTGAGTATTTTCTTTTGTGTAATTGTGCCAAACCCGGATTTTACTTATGATAAACTTAAGTTTGTTTTTAAAAACAAAAAACTTACTCCACCTTTGATCGAAAATGAAATCATCAACTGCACCATGAACCACCTCATCAAACCTCTCCATATGTGTCACACCCCCAAACTTGAACAGCAGAAACGTTCGGGGGAGGAGGACGTCATGTGCAGTATCATAACAATTGAATAGTAAAGAAAGTAAACACAACCATCATATACATAATTGAAAAGGTTACATCATTGTAAGCGTTTACATGTTTCAAAAGTCAATTACAATATGATGTCAAAAGTTTTGTTTAACGCCCTATCGTCAAATCTTCAAAAGTTGTTGATAACCTGTTTTACTGAATTCCTGAGAATACAAGTTATTTGAGAAAAAAGTGTCAACATTTAAGTTGGTGAGTTCATAAGCATTTGTATAAATAAATATATGCCATTCAATGAGATGAAATCACGTTTGTTTTCAGAAAATCCGATATT